TCAGCAGAAACCTGCAAACAAAAGGTACTCAATTAAATGAGGAAAAATTCGTTGCAAGTTAAAAGCATCTCTTTGGAAGGGAGCTATTCTATTCTATATCTTAATATGCTTGACTGGTAGTTATTATTCCCCATTATAAACACCCTCTTTTTTAAGGAAATCTATAAAGTTCAAAATAAAAGACAGAACTGTTGAAGGCACAGCTTAGACATGATGGCTTGTGGTCACATATTAAACCTTATGCTACCTTTAACTGCATTTTTTTAAAAAAAACAGCAAAACAAAGTTCCTGGCACTTCGAAGTGTCAGCATTTCTAAGCTCTTACATGCTTCATAATTGTCTGATTTGTTTAGGAAGTAGATGGAAAATATTATATTGCTTATAATCCTAAGGATGCAAGAATTGAGGTTTTAATAACTACTTTTAAACTAGATAAAAAAGACCTCACATTATTTGACAGTTCCTTTGATCTTTCTCAGTGCTTATCACAATAATTACTTAATTATACAGTTGTAGACCTGAAGAATATTGAATAAGAATTTGGTACAAGGGCAAAATATGCTAGTATAAACTAAAAGGCTTGTGGGAGGAAGGATATGGTTATGATCCTATTATCTCCCTTATTACAGTAAGTACAGTCTGAAGTAATGCACTGTATACAAATTGACAGATACTTGCTTCTAAGGATAGTTAGTATGTTTAAATTCAGTGGTCCCTAGGCAGGTTCCTTCCAGTATTTCCCTTAAGCTTCCTTTTCTCAAGGCAACAATACATCTTCAGCAGTGACCTGAAGCTTCATTTTCTCTGAAGAAAGGGTGCATTTCTCAGGTGAATTTCTTACTTTGGGGTAAAGCAGCTTCTCTGAGCTACTTCAGGATGAGAAAAACAAAAGGTCAACTAAACCAGTGTGTAAATAGCATATGGAATGTAGGGAGTATACTGTCTACTTTTGTATATTTAGAAGTCTGAAAGTAAATTCCTTGCTTTTGATGTATTTTTGTCATCTCAAGAGCAGGTTCATGAAGCCTAAATTTGTAGAAAATAGGAGAGTTAAGCCCTTTTAGCAGTACGTTTATTGCTCAAGCAGTTTAAGATTTTCTGCTTTGGTTTTGATTTTGTACCTTTCAAAACATTACTATTGAAGCAGTGCCACATGTTACAAAAATAAATATCTCTGTGCACACAGCAATATACACCTCTTCTCTTCCTTTGGCATGTGCACTCATATTGGTGTCCCTGCTTTACCAGTAGGTGAAACATAAGAAAGCAGACAAATTCCTTGGAAAATGAGATGGTGTAATAAGATTGTATGAGTGTTTATCATAATCAAAATTATTTTAGGCAATTTCTTTTCTGAAAAATCTACTTTTTCACAATCATACTTTCTCATGGTTTAAACACATCCCAGACATCTGGGCTGTTGCTTCTTCTATTTACCCCTCTTCTTCACCTCTCTTCTCAGTTATGTGCTCTCTTCTCTCTTTTAATGACTAAGCTTACACTCAAAACCTCCAAGGGGCCTAATGCTAAATTGGAGTGATCTATTTTGTTTTCCCCATACATGCAAAACTTTATGGTTTTCATGGTATTTCTAAAAATATCACCAAAATGTAAGAAAAAAGCTAGCATAATAATAGAAATTGCTATTTCATTAATATGAGATCATAGTATTATAATGATGATAAAATTTCTAAATATATTGGAATAAAATTGAAAGAGGCCTACAAGAAAGGCTTCTGTATTAACACATTATAATTTTGCCTACACTGTATGACTGTTCCCACATTTTCCCCTTGGACTGATTTCCTACATCTTGCAATAAAATTTTCATTTAATTTAATGAAGCAGCCTTTGCTAACAACATTCCATTTGATGTGTCTCAGGATTTTTTGGATGTAGAGCACCAGCATGATTTCAGACAAACAAGAGAAATTTCTCTTTTGTAGCAGAAATTTACTCACAAAACCATCCATAGCCCATTTTTCCTCTTTCAACTTGCTCGCAGATGTATGGGAGGGCGCTTTAATGAGATATATGTGGAGCATTAGCCGAGCTTCCTGGCTTTTATACACTCCTGTAGAACATAGTTTTGAAAATTTGTATTTGTGTTGAGCAGACAAATAATTTCATCTTTAAAATAAACATTTAATCTCTTGTTTTAAGAAGGGAAAGCAGGAAGAATAGGTACCAAGTGTTACTGCTATTAGTTTAGTAAGATGCAGTTTTGTAAAAAAAAATTATTTCAAATATCGTAGTAGTATTTTTAGATTAGACTGTAGAGATGACAGAAGGGAAACCCTATAGACACAGCTGCTACTTAACAGTTATGGTAACAAGCCTTAGACAGAGCAAACATTGACAGCAATCTAATTTGAGATGGAAAATACTGTTCTGAAACAGGCAGAGTGTATTTAAACCTCACATCCCTACTTTCCATATATGTAATTTAGTGATCACTTAAAGAATGTGATAATAGGAACATCCACACATAAATTCTTTTCCAAAAGCCAGTGCTAAATTAAAAAATTTCTAAATTTGAAAATATTTCAAAAAATATTCTTCATCAGTCAATATTACATGTTTTTTTTTTCCAGGTAATGAGGAGACTTGTATGCAACCTTATTTACTTTGTAGGCATAATTGACTCCTTATTCCTGCAGAATAAATATTTAGATCCCAAATATCCTTATTTATTAATTTGGAAATGAAGAGAAAATACTACAATGTGCTTAGTGATTTAATCATCCATTACAAAGACGATGGTGAATAGTGACAGTAAACTTACAATTTTTTCCTCCATATTTTAAAACATTTTAATCACTTAATCATTTAAAACTTCGAAGGTTAAATAGGTGACCATGCTAGTATGATCATTTCCTTTCTGGTAGATCACTGAAATAACTTTTCCTTGCATACAAACTCCTCTCTTTGATGAATTACTCAAGCTTATGTTGCACTTTATATGAAAAAGAGCTAATGATGGATAAAATTTTAACAGAAACAAAACTAAAACCAAGCAAAAGAAAAAACCTCAAAACCAAACCCCAGCAATAATACTAATTATACTTTCACCTCCAGAAAATTCCACCAAACCTAAATTAAAACTCACAGAACAGACTTCATACTGTAATGAATTTGATTTAAACACTGTCTTTCATTCATCACTTTTTTCCCTTTTCCTTTTTTTTTAATGCTGACTAGCAGATGCGGATGGCATGAGACTGACAGACTGATCACCTAGATTGTGTGGCAAGGTCTTGGTAGCAGGGATTGTACACAAGTGGCTTCTGTGAAAACTTGCTAGAAGCTTCTGACTGTAAGACAGACCCACCACTGGCCATGGCTGAGCCCATCAGTGATGGTGGTGGCAACCCTGGGATAATAGATTAAAGATGGGGGAAAATATGCTGCAAAACTGCAGCTGCAGAGGAGTGAGAATACATGAGAGAAACAGTCCTCCAGACATCAAGGTAAGTGAGGAATTAGGGGGAGGAGATGCTCCAGGTGCCAATAGCAGAGATTCCCCTGCAGCCTGTGGTGAAAACCATGGTGAGGCAGGCTGTACCCCTGCAGCCCATTGAGGTCCACAGTAGAGCAGATATCCACCTTCAGCCTGTGGGGGACCCCACATTGCAGAAGGTGGATGTGCCCTGAAGAAGGCTGTGACCCCATGGGAAGCCTGCACTGGAGCAGACTCCTGACAGGACCTGTGGACCCATGTAGAAAGGAGTCCATGCTGACACCGGATGGCAATTGGTGATTTATGTCTCCTGTCCTTATCTCAGCCCATGAGACTTTTGTTATACTTTCTCTCCCCTGTCCAGTTGAGTAGTGGGAGCAAGAGAGTAGTTTGTTGGACACCTAGCATCCATCCGACACCAACCCAGCACATTCTCCAGGAGAAAAAAACAATTAACTAAGGCTGCACATCACTATCTAACACAGTGGCGGAAGGAAGGAAATGCCCAAGTACTTTGTATTCTTTGCATCTACGAGTAGAGAAGGAAGAAATGCTGGCACAACCAAAAAGCTTAATATTGGACTGCAGTGCAGCAAAGAGATGATACAGAAGACAGCAGAGTTTTCAGGCTAATAGTTAAGAGCTTCATATCCATGGTCAGTAGAAAACAGAGGGCAAAGTTATTGTGTTAAAATGAATTCCAGAGGAAAAGTTAAAGCAGCATGGTCACATCTGTCTTGCTGGCTGCTAATCTGAGAAAATGAAAAACTTATAAAATGGAAATAGATCACATACTCAGATATATCCCAGACAAGAAAAGACATTTAACTTGTTCTCTCCATTAGTTTGTTCACTCTAAGCTCTCACTACAGACTATGATAAAATGGGAATCTCGAAAGTTCAATTCAGGTTAAGATACAACCTTCCCAGGTCTCTTCAGAAGCTGCACTAAAAGACAGAGCAGTAAGATTCCTAATTCATGGTTCTTGTTTACATGCTTAAATTCAAAGAACAAAAGCCTTCTCCACATTAAGGAACAGTGACTGCCCTATAGGAGGTATCTTATAAATCATCTCTGAGCTAATGAACAGACTTACTTTCATGTTAACACTGTACCGAGCTCAAATGAACATGCCTTTGCAAGATAGGGTTTTATCTACGTATACAGCAAGCAGAGGCATAAAAACAAAAAGAAGTAAAACAAGATGCAACAAATGATGGCCTGGAAAACAGTAATGTTGCAGAGGGAGGGAACTACTTTCCATTTGACAAAGCTACAAGTTGAGTTTATAAGAAATCAGCTTCCTGGCTGCTAAATGCATTTTTTGATCCATCCCTACTTCCTTGGCCCCAAGATACTCTTTCAGTTTACAGGATCCCAGTGTCCTCTTTACAGAAGAGGGAAATAAAATAATATTAATTACCTGATGACATGTGTAATGCCTGTATGTAGAGTGAAAAAGGGCATTTGTAATCATGTTCGCATTCAATTGAAGGAATCTTTTATTTGGAGAAGGAGGTTTTTGGGTGAGAAAACCCAAGGTTTTAATTTTCTAATTATAAAAATATGAAATACTATGTCTGCTGTTCTCAAGACCCTCACAGAAATTACATAGCTGAAACTAGAGACATCATATGATAGCGAAAATCACACACAGTCAGGGCAAATATGATAATCAGTCAGAACATATTTTATGACACGCTCAGTCCATCTACAGCCTCTCAAGTGCAATTCTACAAAAGACACCTCCAAAACACCTTCAACAGACAAACCTAGTGACAAAAATTCACCACTCTACTTGATACTAGAAAATAAGACCTCAACACAAATTCTTTGGCCCATTACTTCCTTCCTGCAGACAGGAACCAACAGGTTAATGTCCTGTGATTTCTGTCCTTGCTAACACCTCTGGGATAAAGAGTGGTGATAAACTATTTTAGAGAAAGGGGTCATACAGTAATGAGCAAGATAAAACCAGCTGTCTCCAGCCAATACAAGAATGAAAATTTTAGGCTTCTTTAGACTTTGCAAAAAGTGTTGTAGACAGAGGGTTACATTTCAAGAAACGAAGTTTTGAGTGATAATATTGATTTCAGGTGTTTCTTTTATGCCTATTCACACCCCTGTGAAATAGTCTGCCACTCCTGTGGTGTCTGTGTGGCTGAGATGTCTCAATCGAGGGACTGACAGATCTGAAAAAAAAAATAAAATACCCAAACTTTAAACCCAAGGCTTTGCAGACATATCTGTGGTTTCTGCTGATGTTTCACAGCATAAAGAGCTGTGTATACTTTGCCAACATAACCATGGCAACAGTGCTCTGGATTTCAGGGACTGTGGAAGATCATAAACCAATATTGTAATCAATTACCTCTTCTGAAACCACAGTAAGAAGTGAGCTATGTCTCTGGGTAGCCATCCTGCCGAGGTGGAAGACAGGGATAGGGAGCAGGATGAAGATCCCATAATTCAAGAGGAAATGGTCAGTGATCTGCTATACCACTTAGACACGCACAAGTCTGTGGGGCCAGATGGGATCCACTCAAGTGCTCAACAAGCCACTTTCAATCATTTACCAGTAGTCCTGGCTAACATGGGATGTTCCAGTTGGCTAGACGTTAGCAAGTGTGATGTCTGTCTACAAGAAGGGACAGTAGGAGGATCCAGAGAAGTACAGGCTTGTCAGCCTGACCTTGGTGCCATAGAAGGTTACTGAGCAGATCATCTTAAATGCCATCACATGGCATGTGCAGAACAACCAGGAGATCAGGCCTAGTCAAACAGGCTTATGAAAGGCAGATCCTGCTTAACTAACCTTGTCTCCTTCTATGACAAAGTCACTCAGTGGGTGAAGGAAAGCCTGTGAATGTTGTCTAACTGGATGTTAGTAAAGTGTTTCACACCGTTTTGCACAGCATTCTCCTGGAGAAACTGACTTTTTGTGGGTTGGACATATGGACTTTTCACTGAGTAAAAAAACTGGCTGGCTGGAAGAGCTCAGAGACTTGTGATGACTGAAATTACATCCAGTTGAGGGCTGGTCATAACTGGGGTTCCCCAGGGCCTAGTACTGGGGCCAGTTCTGTTTAGTGTCTTTATCAACAATCTGGATAAGGGGATTGAAGGCAAACAGTCAGTTTGCAGATGACATTAAGTTGGGCAGGAGTGTTGATCTGCTGGAGGGTAGCAAGGCTCTGAAGAGTTGGACCAGTGGGCCTTCACTTGGATCACAACAACCCCAGGCAACACTACAAGCCTGGGGCAGAGTGGCTGGAAAGCTGCATGGTGGAAAAGGACCTGGGGGCACAGGTCCATAGTGGCCAATGTGAGATAGCATTGTGTCCAGGAGGCCAAGAATGCCACAAGCATCCTGGCTTCTGTCAGAAATAGTATGGCCAGAAGGACCAGGGAAGTGATTGCTCGAATCTGGTGCTCAGTTCTGGGCTCCTCACTACAAGAAAGACATTGACATGTTGGAGTATGTCCAGAGAAGTGCAATGGAGCTGGAGAAGGGTGTAGAGCACAAGTCTTATGAGGAGAGCCTGAGGGAACTCGGGTTGTGTAATCTGGAAAAAAACGGAGACTGAAAAGAGACCATATCTTCTTCAACTACCTGAAAGGAGGTTGTAGCCATGTGTGGGTGGGTCTTGGTTGCTTTACTCAAGCAGCAAGTGGTAGGATGAGAGGAAATGGCTTCAAGTTGTGCCAAGGGAGGTTTGGATTTGTTCTTGGGAACAATTTTTTCACTGAAAGGGTTGTCCAGCATTGGAACAGGCTGTGCAAGGAAGAGGTGGAGTCTCCATTCCTGGAGGTATTTAAAAGGTGTGTAGATGTGGCACTTATGGACATGGTGGTGGACTAGGCATTATTAGGTTAACTTGATGATCTGAGAAATCTTTTTAAACCTAAACAATGCAATAATTCTACATTTATTTTTTTGTAAAAAAAAAACCCCCTTATATCAGGTAGTCTAGCAAGTGTCATCTACTTTCTTTCCATGTTCATCAAATACATGTCAATCTCATCCCAATCATCATTAA